AGTTTCGCCACACCGTGGCCTGAGTTTATCACTGTCTCCTTTCTAAGTGAAATCGCAATGTAAGATATTTTGACCTCTCTTTTTACATTTCATTCATTATAAGTGAATACTTACTGTTAAAGATGCTGCAGTTTCTCAGCAAACCCTTTATAAAACTTACCAATAATGTGAGCATTACGTCGGCCTAAAAGGAAGACAAAGGTCACAAATGCATCAGTCAAGCCCTCAACATGATTGAACAGGAGCCCTCAGCCAATGACAATTTAGCCTAATTTTTATCATTGCACAGTCCAATTTTGTTCTAATATAAAAAAACATTGGTTTTACTGAGATAATCTCATTTTATCTTCTGTATTCAGTGGTCTGTTTCCTTTCTTTTTAACTTACCATTTTATCATAAATTTAATAGAACTACAGCAAAGAACGTATAAAACAGAACAAAAGAAAAATATCACACATAATTCTACCACCAGAAAATGCTTTGCTACATTCCCTTTTAGAACATGTTCCCATACATGTAGGTTTTTACATATTTATAGCATCTCTTTACCTACCTAACCTTTGAACAGTGGAATTAAGCTCTCAATCAATATATGTTAATTTTTACCACCACAACTATCACTACTGCTACTGGTATGATAATACTATTAACTCTTCATTATATTTGTCCCATATTTCTCATCTGTCTACTGCTCTCTTACTTTCCAAAATATGCACATAAGCTGTAAAGATCAAATTTGTTGATCTTTAATGATTTTCTCTGTCATATCCAAAGTTCAAAGAATTTAAGTCTTCTTCCAGAGGTTTGATAAATAAATATAATTTACGTTAGCTTTTCTATATTGACTTTAAATCTTTAACTCTTGAATACATCTGGTACTTTTTGTAAGATAAAAAGAAAAGTCCTAAATTTGCTTCACTGCTACCTTTGTTATTTGATCATCTTTACCATCTCTGTTGTATTTCATCTGTAAGATACTTTTAATTTTATTTATAAAAACCTTTATTTTATTAATATTTATTCTGTTTCACTTATAAAAATGAGTCAATTTTATGCTACTTTAAAGTGATTTGTGTATTGTGGCTTTATATTTCTTTTAATGTCTGGTAAGGTGGTCCTCCATCATGGGAATTTTCTGTCTTTCATGGCCACATGTTTAAACCCTGTAAAGGCATTCATTCAGCCAGTTAGGCAGTGAGCGTTTTTCCAAAGTAAATATAATTTGATATTAAGGAGGTTACAGTTTATAATTTGGAAATATCATTCATAAGTCAGATTAACTAGCACATAGAAGGGATTAACTTTAAAAACATCTTGAGCAATCTTGGTAATCACTGCTACAAATAAGAATCATAAGAATGGGTGAGGGAGGCCTAGCACTAACTTAGATTAAGGAAAGTTATTCATTGTTAATTTTGCTCATCAGCTCCTTGATGTGTACAAGTTCAGGCTTTAGAATTTTCTATCTAGTTGCCAATACAGCTCAATGACACCTGATTTCTAAATCTGCTGATGTAGTTTTACCAGTTTAGAATCCTGTAGCCAACAGCAGTGAGGGCGACAGGATAGCTGGTCTCACAAACTTAGAAGGTGTTTCCTGACTCATGCTGAAATTCTTGAAGGTCTGTTCCTGGGGCTCTTCACTTTTAAGGCCCCGGGCTATAACTAAATCATTACTGTGGGATGCATGCAACAATAGAGTGATGCAGACCAAAAAGGTTCAGCGAGGTCCCCAAGGAAAGATGAATGGGTTGAGAACTGTGGAGAGAGCAAGGCTTGCTTGACTCTCTTTGCGAAGGGCTTTTGGAGAAGAATTAGGAGCTCCTCTTGCACTCCTTAGCACTACCACGTTCGATGCTGTAACAATCACACCACATTCGATGACAGTACGGATGAATGAATGAACAGTGCATGACTGGGGAGGACCTACATTCCTTCTTCCTGCTCTTGCACTTACCAGATGTACTAGTACATGTGGCCAGAGGAGGGTCCCATGTGTTATCTGCCTGGCACTGGCTCCAGGGACTGCCTTCCAGAGTATATCCATCTTTACACTCCAAGGTTACAGTCTCTCCAAATCGAAATTCTTGCCTCATGTCCAACTCCTTCCAGATTCCATTGGTAAACTTTGGGAGGCTGCATTTTACCTCTGAAATTAGAAAATTGGAGGAAATTGATATTTTATTGATAACTCTAGTTATAACTACCATAATGGAAAGACCTATGACCCTCCAAATCTATTTCCCTTCAGCAAAGATGGGTCATGTTTTCAATCAAGAAAAATTGATAGCCCCTCCCTAAATACCTTATGATTTAAGATTCTCAAACTTTATTTTCCTAGGAATATGGAATGTACTGTAATCCACTTTTAATTGTGAACAACTCTGAAACTGGAAAGCTGTGGAAAGATGAGGAGTTAGGATAAGCATACTCCAGCCTAGATCCACTTGGGTCATACCACAGGAAATAGGAAGATCACACAGTATTTGAAATATGAAAGAATAGAAGAGAAATAAGCAAAGCAAAAAGCCCTTAACTTATAGTTTTGAAAAGTCAAAAAGCCACATTTAAAAGGAGCCACTATAAAGTGCAGAGTTAGAAAGCAGGGGATGAGCTGGGGTCCAATCCTAGCACCATCCTCCTGCGCTGAGGATCATAGGCTAGTAACTGGATCTCTCTACACCTCAATTTCCCCCTCGGTAAGACAGCAAGAATAATCATCCCACCTCATCAGATTCTTCGGGAGACTAACACACATCACTTTTGTAAAGATCTCAGTAGCATGCCTAGTCATAGAATATGACTTTTAATTCCACATTTTGTAGCTTTTTAGAATATTGCCAAGAAAGGTTTTTTATTCATATTTATATATGAATAACAAAATCATTCCTGGCACTTTGTACAGGTGAGAGGCAATAAACTCTTTACCTTTGGACTTGGAAGTTATAGTGAGACTCCACACCTAGTCATTCCAGAACTAACTGCTCCGACCTCACTTCTACTGTCTTCACAACAAAGTGCTCCTAGTCTCTTATTGACCTTCTAAGGGTATTTGTGAGGACCATTTGTGATCCTTTAAAGCTGAAATAGTTTATTAGTAAAAGGCCTGGAAAGCATTTTAAACTTGTGGTTGATGTCTATTCTATCACTGACAATTCCCTCTGTTCTTCCTACTTATTTGGTAGAGGTAAGGATATTTGTGCAGCCTCTCTTCCTACTGTTTGTTCTGCTTTTCGTCTCCTCTATTGATACTCATTTCACCATCCTCTCAGATAAGATCTCCATCAGCCTTATTAGCCTCATGCAGAAATTGTCCATAAAAGCCCAGCAAGAATAGAAGGTACCTTTGCAATAATGGTAAACTTGGCTCCAGGTTCCCTCATGTGTACAGAAAATGAAGCCTTTCCCCACCAACAGGTAGCCTGGGTCACAGGTGTAGTTGACGATCATCCCAGGAAGATATGGAGATACACGTCCTCCAGTGTGACGCCCATTGTGCATCTTGGGTGGAGGTGGGCATGCTAAGATCAAGAAAAGACTTTCAGTTAAACATAGAAGTATGAACACGCCAACACATCAAATAATATTTCTGACTCTTAGAGCCACATGAAGACCTAGGCAGGCAGGACTCAAGGCACTAAATGTTTGCGGGTCAGTGGGAAGACTAATTCTCTAAACCCAGACCTCTCAGCCTTTAAACAGTTTAGGACATACATGTTTAGGATCATGTATGTCTTTACCTGCAGACTCCACCAGACAGAAATACCACTGGCATCTACAAATCACCCAGTCAATGCTACCTGTCCTCTCTGGAGGACGGAGCTTGTGTGGCCAATCACAGCCACAAAGGAGCTTCTGGTTGCCAGGTACTGTCACTTAAAGCTAGAAATATATGGGAAAGCATTGAGCTACGGAGGCCAAGAGCACAACCACCCACTTCATTTCTCCAGGGCATCCTGAGTTCCTTTTGCTAAAGATGAGAAGAAGCGTCAACAAAATACAGTCATGGGCTGAGCAGAACTCTTAGAAGTAACAACAGGAGCACAAATGGCTACATCGGGACTTGCCTAATTACTTCTAGAGCATTACCAATTTTGAAGGAAATTACTCTTACGTAGCATAAAAGCAGCTAGTAATAGAGATGGCATAACCAAATATTTTCACTGGTTTTAAAATATTCTCTATAAACTTTGGGCCTCACTGATTCTCTCCACTCTCTTAAAATTTCACTGATGCAAAGATGAATAAGTTCTAGAGATTTTCTGTACAATATTGTACCTACAGAAAACAACATTATAACATCTAATAAAAAAAAATCTGTGAAGAGGCCAGATCTCATGTTAAGTATTCATACCACAATAAAATGTTTAAATTTAAAAAACAACATGCAGTGACAACACTCAAAAAAGAAAAGTCATACTGTATGTATATATACAGTGAGTTTTAAGTGAAGTTATAGCTCAATTTCATTTAGAAAAAAAATAGTTAAATTAGTTTGCTGCTTTTTTGGGGGGGAGGGCTGTTTCCTTGAACTATTTACAAAGCTATTGTTTGGAAACAAAATTTAATTTCTTGGCTTTCTTCTAAGGAGAATCTGGCACATAAAGAGATAAGTAAACACCAGCAGGACAAATTGGCATTGGATACAGCTCCGAAGTACTTAAACTTTAAATATTAATAAATTTTTACCCCCTTAACATGAAAAATCTAGCAAGGAAAAAAATGGCTACAGACAGGTGGGTTTCAGAGACATATTGCATTTTTCTATACTGTAGTCCATACTGTAAAACTTGAGTGAATTACAAAAGATGCAGTTGAGTGAGAAAAAGTTAATCCCAATTTCAGATTCTCCCCTCCCCCAAAATAGGTGTTAAAGAGATCTAAATGATGGGTGAAAAAACCAGCCTTAGATTCGGGAGAGCTCACTCATTCACTCTAGGGAGGAAAAGGAATAGAGCAGCCATTCTCAACCTGTAGGTCGTGACCCCTTTGGGGGTCGAACGACCCTTTCATAGGGGTCGCCTAAGACCATCGGAAGACACATATATAATTACATATTGTTTTTGTGATTAATCACTATGCTTTAATTATGTTCAATTTGTAACAATGAAATTGGGGGTCACCACAACATGAGGAACTGTATGAAAGGGTCGCGGCATTAGGAAGGTTGAAAACCACTGCTGTAGAGGATAATTCATTCAACTACTTAATAAATATTACTTGAGCACATACTCTGTGTCAGTCACTCATTGGAGCCCTGGAATATAGAGATGAAGAGCACAGATAAAGTCACTGTCCTCCAAGGAAGAAATTTTCAAGAAATGTTTTTACAAAGTATTCCACATGTGCTAATCACCTTAAAGATGTGAAACTTTTCCTTGATAACTTATTGATACTGGCCATCGATCTTGATTATGACAGTGTGCTGCCACAATGAATTGAAGCCTCCGCGGTCATTGTAAAAATTCTAAGCAACTCGGATTGCTTTGTTTTTTAAAATGTATGGATCTGTCTATGATAGAATTTTCTTCTTTACTTTCTGTCAGGCTTCCACTTGTTACCTCTTTCTAGTATCTGCTTGTCTGTATAAAACAGGCCCCTACAGCCACTTATTCTCATCAAGAAACACTGGATAGCAGATAACAGTATGTAAGCTATGTTCTCATAAGTTTTACTATAAAAAGCACATTTTTTTGTCTGAGTAGATTTCTAGCAACATAAACATTATAGTAAAATGTGATTATTTAATATATATTTAATATATATATAAAATATATATATATCTCCTATATAATAAAGAGGTAATAGGCAAATTGATCATCATGCCCTCACACAAGATGGCCTCCCCCATATGGTCACAAGATGGCCACCACAAGATGGCTGGCAAGGGAGGGCAGTTGTGGGCGATCAGGCAAGCAGTGGAGGGAAGTTAGGGGTGACCAGGCCAGCAGGGGAGGACAGTTAGGGGCGACCAGGCCTGCAGGGGAGGGCAGTTGGGGGAGACC